AGCTTGTTTAATGGGAAAGGGATTAGGACATCCTTGACTGATGTTCCCTATAAAAGCTGACAAGCATCTGCCTGCCACTATGGACATGAGATTGTCATCCAATCCAGCTGGATAGGAGTTTATCATCTCATATCTCTAGGTACTATTAGTCCCAAAATCAGGGCGGAGAGTCTAAGCCAGGGGTCTGCAACCTTTAAGACATAAAGAGCCACTTGGACCCGTTTCCGAGAGGGAAAAAAAGACTGGGAGCCACAAAACCATTGCAACATTTAAAACAAATCCGACACTGCATATATTGCAAAAAGCGCTCTGGTCATGAAGGGGGTTTAAGGGCCCAGTAAGCAAAGGGTTAATCAGGGCACAGTGTATCGTCATAATCACAATCATAGCCTTAGGTCAGTGGTGGGCAACCTTTTTTTTTCAACTGAGCCAAATCTCGCCAAAACCACGATTGAAATTTATTTTGAGAGCCACATTTTTAAAACTGAAAATACATCCCCCATATAGTAATTCATCCCCCATAGTAATTCATCCCCCATATAGTAATTCATCCCCCATAGTAATTCATCCCCCATATAGTAATTCATCCCCCATAGTAATTCCCCCCATATAGTAATTCATCCCCCATAGTAATTCCCCCCATATAGTAATTCATCCCCCATATAGTAATTCCCCCATATAGTAATTCATCCCCCATAGTAATTCATCCCCATATAGTAATTCATCCCCCATAGTAATTCATCCCCCATATAGTAATTAATCCCCCATAGTCATTCCCCCCATATAGTAATTCATCCCCCATAGTAATTCATCCCCCATCCCCCATAGTAATTCGTCCCCCATATAGTAATTCATCCCCCATATAGTAATTCAACCCCCATATAGTAATTCATCCCCATAGTAATTCATCCCCCATATAGTAATTCATCCCCCATATAATTCATCCCCCATATAGTAATTCATCCCCATATAGTATTCATCCCCCCTATAGTAATTCATCCCTCATATTAAGACCCCAAGTCCCCCCTGTGTCAATTCACTTACCTTTGCTCCGCGCGTTCCTCTCGCCGTGTTCCCGCGCCGTTCCGGTGTAGCATGAAAATCTGTCTCCTATGAGGATCTGTCCCCCTCGACGTTTCTGCGCATGTGCCAGTTTCAGGCATTAGCAGCCGATCGGCGATCTCCGGCACATGCGCAGATACGTCGAGGGGGACAGATCCTCATAGGAGACAGATTTTCATGCTACACCGGTCTTCAGGGCGGACTGTGAGAGGAGCCTAGCGGGAGCCTAGCTCCGCGGGCCAGATTAAAAGGTCCGCCGGGCCGTAGTTTGCCCATTGCTGCCCTATTGCCTGTCACCTGGTGGGCAGTGTGCTCCGGAGCCGCAGCCAAGGTGAAAAAGAGCCACATGCGGCTCTGGAGCCGCAGGTTGCCGACACCTGGTCTAAGCAGTCCTTAGTTACAAAGTAAAACCAGTTTTAGAGAGGAACACAGAAGAGGACTGTGAATAACAATCGCACAGATTCCAGTGCTGCTCTGATGCCTTTTTCAGGCTAGGAAAGTCATAGCTCAGAGATGGTTGGGGCCACTTCCCCCTTCGCATTCAGATTGGATCCAAGCAGTAAATGACACCATATTGAAAGAGAAGTATGTATACACGAAGCTGCCCACAAATATTTGATAAGCTCTGGGAGCCTTGGTTGGCTACACTGGGCTTTGGTCCTTCGTCTCTACTAATGGAGAGATTGTTGGGATAGTTTAAATAATTTCCATGTAGTCCTATGGATGTATTTTCTGGAGACAGTGGTTACTTTATTCTATTTTTGAACATGCTTTCTGGGAGTGACATCCCTTGTAATTAATTATTTTGTATTGTGGGAGGTAGAGCGCTCAAGTACTCTAGGCCACGTGGTTGACTTCACCTTAATTGAAGGGTCAGCCTTTTATCACGAGGGTTGCAGGAGGCTAGGGCTGTACTGCACCCAGGAGTCACAGATGCTGGGTACAGCCACTCACAGAAATGAATAGCTTTACAAGGTTGTATGCCGGTACTGACATAAACATGTGCACACATATGACCCAGGGAACACACTCTACATCTGTACACATGTGCACATCATAAATACCAGCGTATACCCATTTAAAACCGCTGATTTCTAAATGTTATGTTGCATGGCCCTTGGAACCTATGTGACTAGTCCATTGACTGGCAGTCAGAAGAAAGGTTAAGTAACCTTTCAGCAGTACAATATATATTTTTATTTACAATTTTTGTTAAATGTTAATATAAAGATGCCTTTAAATTCTATTGCGGGCTGAAAAAAGTAACATTTCTTTGGTGTAAGATGAAGGTAAAACTGAACAGGTTTTTCAACCTTCCTAATTATAAAATGGCATTTGCTGAGGGCTATAACTACATTGACACAGTATATGAGGAAAAGAAGAAGTTTTCTGAAAATCATACACAACCATTTCATTTCCACACTCCATTGTAAGGCAGAGTAACAACTAATTATCTCTAAACTGGATTTAAACTAATCAGGCACACCATTTGATCAAAAGTAAAAGTATTTAGTCTGAAATACTGTATACAATTTTAGTAATCCTATATCGTGGTGACTTCAGCTGCTGAATTTCACTTTTTTATATTCATAAAGATGCGATTAGGTGCGTTTTTGATTACTTTTGCTGCGTTCCAGTCCAGGTCAGCACAGAAAAAATGTAGCATGTTCTACTTTTTTTTCCTGCACCGGAACATAGTGCACTGAACTAGGCCATAAGAACCCATATAACCTACTGCCCATGCAATTTTTGATGCACAAAAAAAACGCACGGGACTGCATCTGGTGTGAACTGGCTGAAAGTCATAATAACTGTATGTTACAGAAGTGTATGGCAAGTACATGCAAGCATTGCTCCTATAAACGTGTCTAGACTGCTTCAGCCAACATCATAATTCAAATGACAATCATCAGCAGCTTACAGCTATTACAAAGTAAAACCAGTTTTAGAGAGGAACACAGAAGAGGATTGTGCATAACAAACAAAATAGTGAACATCTTATTGTGCCTGCTGTTAGGCACTATTTTTATTTACCAGACTGTCCTTGAACTTGCCAATAACACAAATGACTCAGTTTTGGATAGAGTTCACTTGCTTTTCTTCCCCACACAACAATCTGAGAAGTAATTATGGGCCAAGTAATAATAATCGCAGGTTAAAGAAGTATATGACAAGCACATTCAAGCATTGACCTTATAAATGTGACCGATTCAGCCAATGTCATAATTCAGTAGACGATCAGCAGAAGTTTATTACCCTGGGCAAAAAAAGAAAAAAAAAAAAAAAAAAAATTGGAAAAGCTATACATGTGTAGTATTGAGTGGGAATGTGCTCCTGTACACCCTGGGGGCCCCTGAATCTAGGCAAGATTCTTGTATGAATCATAGCTTCCAACCAACAGCACCCTCTTCACTCACAATTCAAATAATGTTCCCATCAGTGAGACCAAAAGAAAAAAAAATATATAAAAAGTGCTGCACAACACCTCTGTGCCTCAGTTATTATTCCTACTTAGCTATTGTGAGTGCACCAACAGTAATTTAAATGAGTAAATAACACTACTATAAATCAACAAAAATACTCAAAATCAATCTCACTGTTCAACAACTAATATGTGCACCCATATAACATTTTGGCACATTACGGCTTTACCTTGCAGGGAAAATAATATGGTAATAAAGTGACTTAATGAAAAGATATGTTACCCATTACAACCAATTTCCTACTTTTATTCGCCATGCTGACTTTCCTTCCTCCAGGCACTATGATAAGGCTCATCACGGAAAAGACTTACTAAGCAATTTAGCAAGGATATAAAATCTTTGTTGCATGCAAGACCCACAGACTTATCATTTCCCATGCATTTTAATTATGGCAAAAACAACCTGTGCTGCTCTGCTGCACAAATGATCCACAACCTTTGCTTCTCTATCACCAATAATAACAGAAGCACAAATAGCGCAACTCTCACATTTCCACACATACAGTGAATATAGAAAAGAATCACACCCCTTTAGAAAAACATCACATTTTGTTGCTTTGCTGTCTGAAATGAAAACAGATACAGTTTGTGTTTTATCCAGCTGTATTTACTAGTGGTGCACCGAAATGAAAATTTTGGTGCCGAAACAGAAAATTCAAAATGCACTTGGCCGAAAACCGAAACCAAAATGCGCAGTTTTTAAAAAAATATATATATATTTTTTGGAAATAAATACACTGGTTACAAAAAAAAATTAAATATATACCCCAATGTTTTTGTAAAATATGAAAGGATGTTACGGCGAGTATATAGATACCAAACATGTCACGCTTTAAAATTGTGCACGCTCGTGGAATGGCGTGAAACTGCGGTACTTAAAAATCTCCATGGCTGATGCTTTAAAAATGTCTACAGGTTAGAAGTCGAAAGTTACAGATGAGGTCTAGTGCGATAATTATTGCTCTTGGTCTCGCTCGTAGCGATACCTCACGTGTGTGGGTTGAACACCGTTTACATATGTGGGCATGGCCTACGTATGCATTCACCACTACGTGTGAATACGGGGGGGGGGGGGGGGGGGGGGGGGGGGCACGTTAAACTTTTTTTTTTATTTAATGTTTTGGGTTTTTTTTTTTGCACTGTCCCTTTAACCACTAGCCTACAGGGCACTTATACCCCCTTCCTGCCCAGGCCAATTTCCAGCTTTCAGCACTGTCACACTTTGAATGACAATTGCACGGTCATGCAACACTGTACCCATATGAAATTTTTATCATTTTTTTGTGACAGATAGAGCTTTATTTTGGTGGTATTTAATCACCTCTGGGTTTTTAATTTTTTCTTAAACCAAAAACCACAGAAAATTTTTGAAAAAAAGTTTTTTCTTAGTTTTTGTTATAAAATTTTGTAAATAAGTGATTTTTCTCCTTCACGGATGTGCGATAATGAGGCTGCAGTGATGGGCACTGATAGGCGGCACTGATGGGCATTGACAGGCATCACTGATAGGCACTGAAAGGCAGCACTGATATATGGCACCGATAGGTGGCACTGACGGGCACTGATAGGTGGCACTGATGGGTGACACCGAAAGGCAGTTCAGATGGGCACTGATATGTGGCATTGATGTGCACTGGTAGACACTGTAATGTGGCATTGATGTGGCACTGATGGGCACTGGCAGGTGGCATGGATGAGCACTGACAGCTGGGGCTACACAGATCATCAGTGCCCTGATGATCAGTGTACATGTCCCCTCTGAGGGATGCCGATTACCGGCTCTCCTCTCCTCACGAGCTGTCAGCGTTACAGCTCGTGAGTAGAGAAATGCGATAACCGGCATTTCCCTATTTACTTGCGATCAGCTGTGATTGGATACAGCAGATCACATGACCGAGCCGACATCTTCGGCTCTTTCCGTTGATCGGTGATCCGCTGTGTCCGAGGGACACATGCGCACCGCCGATCAACGTGCTGCGCAGCCGTGCATGTGCAGTTAGAATGGGAGGACGTCATATGACCTGATGATCAGTGTACATGTCCCCTCTGCGGAAAGCCGATTACCGGCTCTCCTCTCGAGCTGTCAGCGTGACAGCTGGAGAGGAGAGAAATGCCGATAACCGGCATTTCCCTGTTTACATGTGATCAGCTGTGATTGGACACAGCTGATCACATGACCGAGCCGACATCTTCGACTCTTTCCGTGATCGACGATCCACTGTGTCCGAGGAACACAGCACACCGCCGATCGCTGCACTGCGCGCTCCTTGAGCCGTGCATGTGCGGTGAGAATGGGAGGACATCATATGATGTCCTCCCAGAAAGAGAACCGCCTTGCGGCCGTCATTGTACTATATGGCGGGTGAGAGGCGGTTAAAAAAAATGTTTAGCACTTTTATTCCTATCACAAGGAATGCATTCATCCCTTGTGATAGAAATAATTAGTGACAGGTCCTTTTGTAAAGCGTTAGATAAAAAAAAAAAACAAATGGCCAGAAGTGACACTGTTCGGTCCCTCCAAGGGCCTAGAGATGAGAGCCATCTTTCCTTCACTCATCTCTATGCCCAGCGCTGGATCAATGGATTCTCAGGTAAGGCTGAGAACTACCGGGCGGCAGCGGCTGGAGGGCAAGCAGTGGCGAGGGGCGGGTTTTTCAGCACCTGTATCGGTGCTTTTTTTTTTTTCCATTTCGGCCAACAGCCAAAAGGGGTGTTTCAGCCCCCGAAATTTCTGTGCATCCCTATTATTTACTCAACTGCAACTTATAACATCTAAGCGAAAGATATAACACCAACATGTCAAAAAAAAAAAAATGAAAAAACTGAATCACTGAGTTGGAAAAAAGGATCACCCCTCCTAAAAATAACTTGTAAACTCAATCAGGTGTAGCTAAGCACTTTCTTAATGGTGCACAAAGCCATTTGACTTTCACCTGAGTGATCAGTTTGATTAGCTCAGCATGAAAAGAGCTTTCCTGGAGCATTTCAGTCCCTGGTAGAGCAACTGAAGCAAACAATTAACTATGGGTGGCAAGGCACTCTCAAAAGATCTCTGGGATAAAGTTCTGGACAGGCACAAGTCAGGACATAGATACAAAAAAAAATTTCAAAGGCTTTATCAATGCCTAGAAGCACAGTGAAGTCTATTATTAAGAAGAGGAAGGTGTTTTGTACAACGCAGACCCTCCTTGTATCAGGACCTCGCCGAACTGGATGAAAGAGCCGGGAGGAAACTGGTCAGAGAGGCTACTAAGAGGCCTACAGAAACTCTAAAACAGTTGCAGGAATTTATGACAAAGAGTGGTCATAATGTGCATGTGACAACAATATCACAAATTCTCCACAAGTGTGGCTTGTATGGAAGAGTTGCAAAAACGCACCTTGAGTTCTTTTCTATACCCACTGTATATACAGGCAGGTGGGTCACAACTTACGCTTTACTTTCTCATACATTACAGGTGCTGACACATTGCCCTACACTCTCTAATCCATAATGACAAGTGATTATGATCTCACCCTATGCCAACTGTCATAGTAAAGTATAGTATAGTATAACCGCCTTACAAAAATCACATTTTACAACACCAATGTGATACATGTGACTGCAAGCAAGTGGTTAGCTAGCCACGTATTATCTAGGCTCATTCACACCGCTGCATTGCATTATTGTGCACATTACCCCCAACACACAGTAATTCACCTTAAAAACATTGGTGAACTATAACAGCCATTGACATTGGTACCCCCAACTCACTTACACAATATGCCTGCCATGCTCTGCTCCATAATATGTAGTAACACTTCCACACGCTGTGCTGCCAAAAATGCAGAAGGTCTGATTTTTGTTTTGTTGCAATACTTTAGTCAGCCCATTCAAATAAACTGCATGCATCAAACACATTGTAACGAATGGCCCTGGTGTGGAAAGATCCTACGGAGCCAGTCACACCTGCCTAATTAGCTGTGGTGCGTTTAGTGTAGTTACATTATCGTACGTTAAATAACAGCAGCTCATTAATTAAAGTATAATCAAAGGCAAAACTTTTTAGTTTTAAATAGAATGGAGAGGAATTAGAACACCTGTCAGGTTTTCATTGCTGTCTGTACCAGTTAGGGAGATTCGCCCTCCCAATTTGTTCTGTTTACCATGATCACGGAAAGTAAAAGAAAATTCCAAATCTTGGGTTGTCCCCAGAACAGGAATAGTGGAGATATCATCCAGTGGGGACACTAGTTCTGGCAACAACCAGGAAGTTTCCCTTTAGCAGGATTTCCTGTTTTGGCTATGGGATAGGGGGGGGCTCAAGTTATTTTCCTCTTACAATCTGAGATAAAATACCTATAGCTTTTTTCAACCATTCTTTGGCAATTCGCAAAAAAAAAACTACTAAAATAAAGCAGGAGTTATTCCATCAAAATGTGAGGTATTTTACTCAATAAATCATTCTGTATTTTATCTCAGGATGTCATATCCAGCATAATGGATACAATGGAGAAGGATTAGAACCCCTGTCAGCTTCTATTGCCAATAAAGAGGTAAAACGGTTTAAACCATAGAAACATGTCAACTCACTAAAAAAATACAACTTTGTCATTTTTGGAGATTTCCCTTCATTTCTGTCCCATAGCCAAAACAGGAAGTGAGAGGAAATCCCTGTAAATAAAGGTAATCTCTTGGGGACCCCCCAGGTCACCAAAACTAGTGTCCTCATTGGAAAATTTCCCCTCTATTACGTTTCTAGGAACAACCCAAAATTCTGTATTTTCATTTACTGTAAATAACGGTATACAGGACAAATAGAGAGGGTTAATATCCCTAACGAGGGCACAGACAGCAATATAAACCTGCCAGGGGGTCTAATCCCTCTCCACTCTATCCAAAACTTAAAAAAAAAAAAAAAAAAAAAGTTTTGCCTCTAGTTATTCTTTAAAGCGGAGTTCCACTTACCCTATCAAAAAATAAAAGTCAGCAGCTACAAAAAACTAGCTGCTGACTTTTAAAAAACAGCCACTTACCTGTCCCTTGGTCCCGTGGTGTGCCCCCCGCAGCCCGTTTCACTGGCCGTGCTGTGTTCCAGGCGCTGGCATCTTCAGTGTGGGCACCCGGCTGTGACAACTTGCGGCTTCACAGCTGGGTACCCACTGCGCATGCGCGAGTAGCGCTGCGCTTCATGAATGGTCCTGTAGTCTTCTGGGACTTGTCACATGTCCCAAAAGACTATAGGGAGGGAGGACACCTTCCGCTTCCGATCGCCTAGGGGATCGGACCGGAGGTGGGAGCAGGTACCTGTCAAATTCAAGTACCCGCTCCCCCGCCCCCCAAAGGTGCCAATCCTTAATGGAGAGTGGGGGAGCAGTCCTTAAAGCGGAACTTCCCCTTTTGGGTGGAGCTCCGCGTTAAGTAAATCAGCCACAATGACTCTGAGTTTTTCCATATTTAGGTTTCTATGCATTACTATTGAAATGGATCCAAAAAAGGTAGAGACTCCTCCAAATTGACTATTATATTTTATTTTACTTAAATACCTCATGTCTGGACCACGATTTTAGTTTGTGCATTTATTTATTTATTTCCTTTAGTGAATTGACTTTAGTTTTGGGAGTTATTTGCCTCATGTTTGTAGTTTGTAAGGTAAGTACCTCATAAGGTGATAGTGACATTTTCAGCATCTCATGAGATAACTGGAAAAAATGTGTCAAATGATTCAATCATCTCATGATGTCTCAGATAAGATAACTGATCTTAGTGAATTGAGGCCAGGAAGTGAAGAGGACACACGGACAGATTGGTGGGTGCCTCCCCCCCATACACACTGACAGATCGGTGGGTGCTCTCCCCCCATACACACTGACAGATCGGTGGGTGCTCTCCCCCCCATACACACTGACAGAGCGGTGGGTGCTCTCCCCCCCTCCCCCCATACACACTGACAGAGCGGTGGGTGCCTCCCCCCCATACACACTGACAGATCGGTGGGTGCCTCCCCCCCATACACACTGACAGATCGGTGGGTGCCTCCCCCCCCCCATACACACTGACAGATCGGTGGGTGCCTCCCCCCCATACACACTGACAGATCGGTGGGTGCCTCCCCCCCATACACACTGACAGATCGGTGGGTGCCTCCCCCCATACACAATGACAGATCGGTAGGTGTTCCCCCCATACACAATGACAGATCGGTAGGGTGTTCCCCCCCCATACACAATGACAGATCGGTAGGTGTTCCCCCCATACACAATGACAGATCGGTAGGTGTCCCCCCCCCCATACACAATGACAGATCGGTAGGTGTCCCCCCCCCCCCCCCATACACAATGACAGATCGGTAGGTGTCCCCCCCCCCATACACAATGACAGATCGGTAGGTGTCCCCCCCCCATACACAATGACAGATCGGTAGGTGTCCCCCCCCCCATACACAATGACAGATCGGTAGGTGTTCCCCCCCCATACACAATGACAGATCGGTAGGTGTTCCCCCCCCCCATACACAATGACAGATCGGTAGGTGTTCCCCCCATACACAATGACAGATCGGTAGGTGTTCCCCCCCATACACAATGACAGATCGGTAGGTGTTCCCCCCCATACACAATGACAGATCGGTAGGTGTTCCCCCCCCCATACACAATGACAGATCGGTAGGTGTTCCCCCCCCCATACACAATGACAGATCGGTAGGTGTTCCCCCCATACACAATGACAGATCGGTAGGTGTTCCCCCCCCCCCATACACAATGACAGATCGGTAGGTGTTCCCCCCATACACAATGACAGATCGGTAGGTGTTCCCCCCATACACAATGACAGATCGGTAGGTGTTCCCCCCATACACA